TTTCTTTTTGCTTATGTGGTGCTGGGGAATCGAACCCAGGGCCTCATGCATGCAAGGCAAGCGCTCTACCACTGAGCCACCTTCCCAGCCCCGACGCTCTTTTTTTTTTTTTTTGTAGGTTGTTGGGCTTGAACTTTGGGCCTGTGCACTGTCCCTCAGCTCCTCAGCTCAAGGTGAGCGCTCTACCACTTGAGCTACAGCTCCACTTCTGGTTTTCTAGTGGTTTATTGGAGATAGGAGTCCCATGATCTTTCCTGCCTAGGCTGTCTTTGAACCACAATCCTCAGATCTCAGCTTCCTGTGTAGCTAGGATTACAGGTTTGAGCCACCGGCGCCCAGCTCCAAAAGACTCTTATTGACCATTAACCACCAGAAAACCAGAAGTGGCAGAGCATCAGCCTTGAGAAGAGCTCAGGGACAGCATCCAGACCCAGAGATCAAGCCCCCCAATACCAACAAACAAAAACAAATAAACTAATACTGAAAGTGTAGTTCAGGGGCAGAGCACCTGCCTAACAAGTTTGTGTCCCTCAGTTCAAGCCCACACATTGTCAAAATAAATAACAAATTGCTTTTACCTGTTTCCTTTTACTGATGTAACAGTTGGAAAGCAAAGCCTTGAATGTCACAGGGAAGACATGGGCCAATGGCACTGTGTTTGTGAACAGCACCACTGGAAATGACACAGTGTTTGTTGTTACCTGGACAATGCAAAAACCACAAATTATTCTCCAAGATCCCAAAGGAAAAGAATATGATACTTCAGATTTCAAAGAACATAAGCAAAATAGTCGAACTTCCCATCTTCGAATACTGGGCATTGCAGAGGTAATTCTATTTTTTCATTTTCACTTTGTTTTTATTAATTACTACTTTATAAATATGATTTTGTCTTGTATATTGTCAATATTAAAATTAAAACATGTCATCTGCCATATAAATGAATGGAATATGTAATAATTCACATTCATATTATTTACTAGTTTGTAAAATCAGCTTTCACATTGCTATTAGAGCAAGGGGTGTAGTTTGGAAAAAGACAGTTATCTAGTATAGATGAAACCCATTTCCATCCTCAAAATTACACACACTCATATATATATAGATATAGATAAACTACATGCATACAACAACACATATATGTACATATATATGTATACTTGCACATATATGCATATACATATATATGTACATGTATATGTATATATACATAAACTTTTTATATTTTAAAGTCAGTTTATATCCCAAGGAGAGAGTTTATTTTGTTGCTCATCCTGAGGTGCTGACCCTGAGCTCCTTTTTGCCCAAGACTGGCACTGTTCTACTTGATCCATGGTATCAATCCTTCCTTTCTTTCTTTCTTTTTTCTTTTTTTTTGGGGGGGTCCAGTCGTGGGGCCTGAACTCAGCCTGGGCAATGTCCTTCAGCTCTTCAGCTCTAGGCTAGCACTCTACCACTTGAGCCACATCGCCACTTATGGCTTTTTTCTTTTTTTGCTTATGTGGTGCTGAGGAATCAAACCCAGGGCCTCTGGCATGCAAGGCAAGTTCTCTACCACTGAGCCACCTTCCCAGCTCCAATCCTTCCTTTCTTTCTGATTTAATTGGAAATTAAAATTTATTACAGATTTTCTGGCCCTGGCTGGCTTCAAACTGCAATCCTCACATCTCAGTCTCTGCAGGAGCTAGGATTACAGGTCTGAACAACTGCCACTGGGTGGAAAGAGTAATATTAACAAGGCTTTGAACGAGGTTTAGTTTTTTCTTTTCTTTTTTTTTCCAGACAGGTACTTGGACTTACAGACTTTTAAATAATCAAGCCCAACCTCAATTGATATCAGTCACAATGATCACTGGAGCAAGAAATCCTTCCATACTTCCAGTAACAGCAGCTGCTTACAGGAGTCAAAATACAGCACAACACATAAACCCAGGAACTGTTCATGCAAAAGTCTGGGAAGAGTGTATACTTACGGTGGAAATCAATATAGAAATCACTATCGAATAGGAAGGTGGATAGCAATTAGTATTGGAACTCTTGGACAATGGTGCAGATAACTAGCATCCTCTTCAAATTACATTAGACTGAAAACATCTAGAGTATTCTATGATGAAGTCATAGGATATATATGTTTATACTACATATTTCAAAGTTATAATGTTTATAAACATTTTACTGAGTCTGACAAAGTAAAATAAAACACGTTTATCTTTCAACCTCAAGAAAAAATTTTATTTTTCTCATGGAATAGATGAATACAATCCTCCTCCAGTATTCTTAGTGTTAGTTTGATAAGTTGCTTTTATAAAATAATAGCAGCTATTGTCAGTTAAATATATACAATCACAGTTAGACTTAATTCAATGTCAAAATATTAGCATGAGGCTAAGCCAAGGTTGGAATGGAGTCTAATTCTAGTGTTCATATGTGCTATGCTATCTCCCAAACTGCTGATATCATTACTGTTCCAGGAGAGAAACTGTATCCATTTGCATTTATTGGATAACTATTACATTTGAACCTAAAGATACTGATACTGTCAAAAATGATGGTATCTACTCTAGATATTTTATGAAATGCAATGGAAGAGGTAGGTACAGTTTAAAAGTTCTTGTCCAGGCAAGAAATCACACTGCTAGACGTAGATATTTTATGAAATACAATGGAAGAGGTAGATACAGTTTAAAAGTTCTTGTCCAGGCAAGAAATCACACAGCTAGACGGAGTGTAAGATGACAGAACAAGTCTCTGTACATACCTGGCTATGTTGTAAATGGTAAGTAGCATTAAAATTGAAACGAGTCACATGTTTTTGTACATTCCATGTGGCAATCATGGAAATTTTATGTACTATGGAAGAGTCAAGTATATAATTATGTATTCAACTTCTATGTTTCCAAATTGTATTCATAATATTGGGTGCAGTATAAAATAGGTTGTCACATGTTTTGTTAACATCTACCCTGGTTCATTTCAATTACAATGAAAAATTTTGGACTGAGCATCTGGTATGAGGCCAGCACTATAGAAGATGCTTGCTACAAAGATGAATGAAAGATAATCCTTGTACCAGGCTCATGTCTCACACTAGTCATACCAGCTACTCTCAAAGAAGAGATTGGCAGGATTGCAATTCTGGGCAAGCTGGGGCAAAAAATTCCTGAGACCTCTGTCACAACAAAACGAAGGGCATGATGGGCATCTGTGGGAGCCTCAATAGGAAGCTTGCAGGTCCAGGCTTGCCTGGGTAGAAACCTTGATACCATATCCAGAAAAGAACATAAGGAAGTCCAAAAGCTCTGCCGCATAGCTTAAGTGATACAGTGTCTAGCCAGTAAGAATGGGACCCTGAGTTCAAAAGGATCTTTGTCCTCAAAGAATTTCTAGTCAAGCAGTTAATAAAGATCAAAGATGGTTTTATCATACCATAACATTTCCTCATTCATTTCAAAGTTGTATTAAAACAAGAGGGTTGTTTTCACTAAAAATTGTCACTTTTCTGTGTCTGCCATTAAGTTTTAACTTACCCCTCTACAAGATGAAGTATCCACATGACTATGAAAAGTTACAAAATTACTCTTTGGGGTAGATGTAATTGGACTGAACCCACCCAGACCTGAAGTTAAAGACTTGGCAGAAGCTCAACTGGAAGATGTCAGCAGACTAACTTCAGGAAGGTCATTCACTGTATCAGGAGCTCCTCCTGCTGGTGACAATACTCCCTTGTTACCACTCAGTAAAATCACAGGCTTGGAGGCTGAGGTTCAAGGAGGTCCTGTTCACCTTTCATGGACTGCCCCTGGCAGTACCCTTGATAAAGGCAAAGGTAGGCTTGGCATTAAGCTTTTACATTTTCTAAAAGAATGTCTATTAGCTTTCATTTTCTAATGTCTCATTTATAAATAGTATTTGTGGGTGTCTACCTGAGCCATTATTTATTTGTTTTCAGATGTGAAAACTGAAGGGCGAAGAGATAGAAATTGGGAGAAGTTATATCTATAACCTAGAATTCTAACCCACTCTTGTCATGTTCTTTTGTACCAACCTGCTTTTCTGAGCTTGAACCATCCTAAACTTAATTGGGGAGGCCTGAATAACTGCTTCCTGTCCCTGGCAAGGAAAATCATTTTTCTAAGCATTCTGTACTTGTGTAATTTTATTCATTAATCACTGAGTTTCAAACTGCATGAGATTCCTAGAAACTATCCCTATTAAGTCAATGAGCATAAAAGACACATGACCGGACAAGTCATTTCACAGTAATAAGACATAGAATACTAATGGCATGTCACTTACTAAATAATATTTTCAAAGCCATATTTGTAGCCTGGTACTGGTGGCTAATCCCTGTCATCCTAGCTACTCAGGAGGCTGAGATCTGAGGATCGCAGTTCAAAGCCAGTCAGGGGAGGAATGTCTGTGAAACTCTTTTTCTTTTTTGGGGGGAGGGGTCCGGTCGTGGGGCCCGAACTCTGGGCCTGGGCGCTGTCCCTCAGCTCTTCAGCTCACGGCTAGCGCTCTACCACTTGAGACATAGCACCAATTCCGGCTTTTTTCTTTTTACCTATGTGGTGCTGAGGAATCGAACCCAGGGCCTCATGCATGCAAGGCAAGCGCTCTACTACTGAGCCACCTTCCAAGCCCATGACTGTGAAACTCTTATCTCCAATAAACCAGTGGTAAAGCACTAGCCTTCATTTGAAGAGCTGAGGCACAGTGCTCATGCCTAGAGTTCAAGCTCCATGACTCTCTCTCTCTCTCTCTCTCACACACACCAAACACACACACACTAACACACACACACACACACACACACACACACACAAAGCCATATTAGTTTGGGCATGCTTGTTGTATTATTTATCTTGGCATGTTTGTTTTATTTAAAAATAAAAAAAGAGACTTTTATAAGCCAAAACAGTACAGAGTATCCATCCATACTTTTGCTTTAATGTTGAAAACAATCACTATGACCACTTTGGAAATATATCATTTTCTCATGACTTTTCAATAGATAGCAGAATCAAATCAAATATTAGTATTGCCACTAAAAACACCGAGAAGGAAATCATATAATCAAATATTTAGGTCTAAATTAATTTGGTAAAGGTGGAGCCTTCAGTAGAAGACTGGTCTCTTATGAAATGTCCTTTGTGCTATTACAGAAACTAAAAGGAGTGATGTGCTACTTGTAGGCACTGGGGAATTATCACCCTGTACTTTCTTCTGAAGGGCAGGAAGGATAATTGTGGCTGGCAAGCATTAGCCTTAAACATCATAAAACACCTTAAGAGCAGGGCAGTGGTGGTTCACATCTGCAAGCCTAGCTACTCAGAAAGCTGAGATCTGAGAATCATCATTCAAAACTAGCCCATGCAGGAATGTCCATGAGGCTTTTATCTCCAATTGACTGCCCAAAAGAACAAAAGTAGGAAGTAGAGCTGTGGCCTCAAGTGCTAGCCTTGAGCAAACAAGCTGTGTCCAGGCCCTGAATTCAAGGCCCAAGGGCCAGCAAAGGATAAAGAAAGATATCTCAAAGAGTAAATGAGCATTTCCATAATCTTGAGTGAAGCCCTTATATTTTCCCAGTCATACTTTCCATACCTCTTTTCCATACCTGGTAAATCTGCTGATTTACCAAGATGCCAGTGGCTCATCCATGTAACTGGACCAACTTAGGAAGCTGAGACATGGAAAATCACATTTTGGGCAGAAGTCCATGAGGTTCCATATCCAGTTAACCAGAAAAAAACAACAATCATGAGGCCTTGAGTTTGATCCCCTATTATAGCAAGAAGAGAAATACAGATTGAGAATTACCAAAATAATTACATAAGATTCCAATATTTTATACTTCTCTACTTTCATCATTTGGGGTATCAATTTATCAAGTATATCATTGGCCAACTAGTAACTAAGGAAAACGAATATATACCCAGTACAATATTGTGACATCTAGATGGTAGTATAAACATATAGTCTACTCTCAAGGGCAATAGAATCTCATCAGAATGAAAATTTAAGCCAGAAAAATCTGGAAAACACCATTTCATGCAGGAGAAATACATGGAAGAAAATATCAAGGCCAATGAATTACTTGAGCAAGACTTCATGAGAAAGAGGTCTTGTCTGGGCCTTGAAGAATAAGATTTCCATATAGAGAAGGTGAAAAGGTGGTTCAGTGTAGAGTGCATGCATGAAGCCCTGGGTGCAATTCCTCAGCACCACATAAGCAGAAAAAACTGGAAGTGGTACTGTGGCTCAAGTGGCAGAGTGCTAGCCTTGAGCTGAGGAGCTCAGGGACTGGGCCCAAGAGCAGAGTTGAGTCCCCACAACAGACAAAAAAAAATCCATATAGAGATAGAGAAAATGAAGTCAATGAAGGAGTTGAAATCCAATGACATCATCAAGGTCAAGAAAGGAAAAGTAGCTTGTCATAGTGGCTCTTGCCTCTACTTCCAGCTAATGAAGAGGTAGGAAGACTGCAGGAAGACTACAGCTCAGAGAAAAAGTTAAAATTCCCCATCATAACACAACAAAGGAGCTACACATGGCGGAGGTGAGCCTGCAACCTCAGCTGTTCAGGAAGCAAAGGCAGGAGGATTGTGGTGCTGCTCCAAGACTGGTGCAAGGCAAAAGTGAGGTCCTGTCTAAACATGAAGCTAACAGCAAACACAGGCTGGCCGTGTGTCTCAAGTGGGAGAGTGCTTGCCTAGCATGTGCAAGACCAAGAACTCAAACCCAAGGCCTGCCAAACACTAAAATTAAAGAAGAAAACCTTCATAATATTTTGGTTAAACTATGGGAGGAAGGAAAGGGAGGGGAAAGGGTGGAGGAGGGAAAGGTAGAAGAAGACTTTACTCAGTGGAACACAAGGTTGATGTGCAGAATGGTAGAGTATGCCAACAAGGCTATGTATAGAGAAACTACATGTTAATCTTAACTTAGCCAGGCCAGGTGCTGATGGATGACTGCTATAATCCTAGCTACTCAAGAGGCAGAGATCTAGGATAGTGACTGATCTGAAGCCAGCACAGTCAGGAAAGTCCCTAAGATTCTTATCTCCAGTAAACTCATAAAAGCTGGAGGTGGGGCTGTGGCTCAAGTGGTAGTGCCTTCAGCACAAAGAAGCTCAGGTCCAGAGTTCAAGCCACAAGACTGGCAAAAAAAATCAAAATAAAAATAAAAAACAGTCCAAAAGTTACTTACCTCATTCTTAAAATAGTGTTATCCTTTCACAAAACATAAAAAATAAAGTCTTTATCTCAAAAAAGGGCATTCGATGCCCTAACATCCAATTTCTAAACATGAAAAGCTTTCTTGTTTAGTTTTCATTTCTGTTGTTTTATTAGGGATAAGGTTTGTCTTAAGCATGCGAGGCAAGCACTCTACCACTTGAGTCTGCCCTTTTGGATTTGGTTCATTTTTAGACAGTCTTAAACTTCTTGCTTGGACCGCCAGAAGACTGCAATTCTGCTAACTGTACCTTTTGCATAGTATGGATTGAAGGTATGTTCTACCATGTTGGGAGTCTTTATGCCCCAGCTGATCTTGAGCAAAGATTCTTCTGATCTTCCCTTCCTAAGTAGCTGGGATTACAGATGGAAGCCACCATACCTAGCTACAAGATATGTCTTTTTCGTGTGGTTGCCAGCCCCAGGCCTTGAATCCAGAGACTCAGCACTGTGTTTGAGCTTCTTTGTTCAAGGCTTGTACCCTATCCCTAGAGCCACAGCTTAACTTCTAGCTTCTGCTGGTTAGTTAGAGCTAAGTCTCATAGACTTTCTTGCCTGAACTACAAACCAACATGCTCAGCTCTTAGCCTCATGGGTAGCTAGGAAACAACCATGAGCCACTGGTATCATCTAGAACATATTTATATTTCCATATCTCTGGTAGAATTTTAAAAGCAGTCAGGATGAAGCATTTATGTAGACATCCTTCTTCCTTTTTTAACTCTTCATAGTTGTAGCTAACATTTCAAACATTCATTCTTAATGTATTTAATTTTGCTAACCACTTCATGTATCATTGTTTATAATTCTCACCAGTGGAGTAGGAGATACTCAATAAATATTTGATAGAACTGAATGACTAAATCTATGTTTTCCAGGTTTGATAAGCTTCAGATGAGAAAGTTGAGGCAAAACGTTCTATTACTTAGAAAACCAGTAATGGAGATCATCAGTCAAGGTCTGCCCTAGGTCCTGAGCTTAGTACAAACTCCAGCTTTTGGGTCTCCTCCCACTCTTCTGTTCCTTGATCATCTCACTTCTTCCCCTCTCATATTACTTTCTTTCAGCTTCATAAGAAAGCACACTTGAGCATTCCTGTGCTCCCTGTTCCAAATCAAAAAGCTCATTCAGCCCTGTATATCTCTCTGTATAAACTAAATTCTGGCAGGGAGGGAGGCTCAGTGCTTCATGACAGTGAATGAAAATTTTCTGTGATCATACAATACATTTTGAAAATCTGGTGTACTTGTTACACTAAGAATAATGGTATAACCAGACAAACGTTGTAACTGGTGTTCTCTAAACTATAGTGAGCATCTGATCAGTGCCCACCAGGCAGCGTGCCTGCAGTGAGCCATCCTGTCTGTCTGTGTTCCAGCTGCCAACTACACCATAAGAAGAAGTAAGTCTTTCCAGAAGCTCCAACATGATTTTGACCGTGCTGCTGATCTGACATCTAAGGAGGCTGGCTCTAAAGAAACATTTGGATTTAAAGCAGAACATTTTAAAGTAGAGAATGGCACCAAGATCTTCACTGCAATCAAAGGCAACAATGAATCTCATCTCATCTCAGAAGTTAAACTAGCAATTAGGTTCACTGCTCCACAAGATTCCAGCATCCCTGCTCTGGGCATCAATATTTCTGCAACCAGTTTGGCTATTTGGGGGTTGGTCATGATTTTGTCTGTAATTTAAACTAGAGAATGTATTAGAATGGAAATTCAGTATCATAAATATTTAGTAAGCACACTTAATTTAGAAAAAAATCACTTTTTTAATCACTTAATATCAATTTGTTTATTAAATGTATATCAAAATATTTTCTGTCTTTACACAATCTATTCCCTCACATGGTTGATTTTGTTCTTTTTGCCATTGTTGGGTTTGCATTTTTTTCTTACTATTCTGAGTATTAAACCCATGCTTGGCAAGAGCTCTACCACTCTTGAATATTCAATATTAATGATGTGGACAGAAGGGAACCCTACTGCATTGTTGGTGGGAGCGTAAAATTGTTCAACCACTTTGGCAAGTAGTATGGAGGTTCCTCAAAAGACTCCACACAGAGCTCCCCTATGACCCAGCAATCCCACTTTTGGGCATTAACTCAAATGATCACAAACAAGACCATACCAGAACTAGCAGCACAGCTATTTGTATTGCAATATTATTTACCATAGCTAAGATATGGAACCAACCCAGATGCCCCTCAGTAGATAATGCATCAAGAAAATGTGGTATATATCCACAATGGAATTCTATGCTTCCATCCGAAAGAATGACATTGCCCCATTTGTTAGGAAATGGAAAGACTTGGAAAAATTAAATTAAGTGATATAAGCCAGGCCTAAAGACACATAGGTCCCATGCTTTCATTTATTTGCAATAACTAGTATATGCCTGAGACAAACAGAAAAGGTCAAATAAGATGATATTAGGCGAATAAAGGACACAAGTGGAATTTTTTCTTGCTACTGTTTCTAATGTATCTATTAAGTGATGGTTTTGTTGCTTTTTATGTCCCTCCCCCACAGTATAACCCCTGTTTTCACTGTATTTGATGTGGGTATAATTGGGGAGGGGAAGGGAAAAACAAATTTTTTAGAGATACAAGTTGACCCATTGCAACAATGAGATGTACAAAATGCTATGGTAAAAATGAACTTTACAACTTTGGTGGGAGGGGGGAGTGGGGGCAGAGGGTATTTGTAGGCGTGGTGATGGGAGGCCAGGGATGGTTGGGGAAAAACAGAGGAGGCAGCAACCATGCTTGATAAGAAATGTACTTATTACCTTGCTCATTTGATTGTAACCCCTCTGTATGGTATTTTCACAATTTAAAAAACTTATTAAAAAAAGGATGTTTGCTTCTATTTATGGGTTTTTAAGAAACATTTTCAGAAGATTCCACAAACTCATTTAATATATGAAACAAGTCAAAATTCATACAAGCTACTAGAAAAATCTATGTTTATACAGTAATATTATAACATCCTTCATTAGATTATAATATACCACAAAAATAATGAATGAAGTATTCATGTTTACAAAGTGCATAATAAAAAGGGGTATAAGGAAATTTTCAATACAAAGTGACCTAATGTGGTAAGAAAAACAAATTTTTTTTATAACCGAAAGACTCTTTTTATGTAGAAATAGTCGACTTTCACAATAGAGTTCTATAATAAATATATGCATGGACCATCCTTCGATCAAGAGTATTGTTAGTCTGCCTGAGTGATCAGCCCCCTTCTACCTGTATTAGTCCCTGCCAGAAAATCACACAGACATCCAGAAATCTTGCTGTGGCAGACAATGTTTAGAAATATCTGCCTGTTCTCCAGAATTTATGGGTGACTCAGAAAGCAGAGGGGTACCCTGGGAGGGAGGGCATCATCAGGGAAGACAAAGGAGAGTCCCAGTCTGAAATGAGAGAAGCAAAGGTTCATTGAAAGCACAAGTTAAGAAAATATGATGGGGTGGGGAGGTGGCTCAGTGGCAGAGCACTTGCCTTGCATGCATGAGGACCTGGGTTTGATTCCTTAGCACTACATAAGCAAAAAGAAAAAGAAACGGAAGAGGCGCTGTGGCTCAAGTAGTAGAGAGCTAGCCTTAAGCTGAAGAGCTGAGGGACAGTGCCCAGGCCCAGAGTTCAGGCCCCATGACAGGATCCCCCCCCCCAAAATGTGAAAGGAGTGAAAAGTGAGTAAAGAGGTAAATTTCAGGGGGCATGAAATCCACGGAGATTCCTTGTAAACCTAAGTCCTGTACCAGGTCTAACAGGTGGGTGAAGTTAATAGGTTCCTCAAAGGAGAGTAATTCCCGCCATAAAGTATAGAGGAGGAGCTAAAAGCAATCCAGAAAGGGATTTGTCAGGTCATGGTCCACAAGATCAGTCAGCGGAAGTGGGGGACATTGTAGGGAAAGAGGTGAAGTCACACATTGCTCAATGGAGGGCTGTGGCTGTTCTCTGTGGTCTGTGCTCTGGAATGGACTGATTGATCACCTCCTGCTGAGGTGTCTGCAATTTCTACACAGATGGGTCAGACAGTTGAAATCTCTCAGTATTTTCCTGGCTGCTTTCTCTGAGTAGACTGGCTTTTGCAGGCTGGTGCCCACTGATTTAGGCCGTGGCCCCTGAGGAATTTACTAGAGTGTCAACCTCATTAACTAGATCTTTTCCCAATATTTTTCCAATGTTTTAAGCAGACATGGGAGACGTGTGCCTATAACCATCTCTTCCAAGTGCAGTCTCTAGCTTGCCTTGGCTAGTATTTGCTATTTAGCCTTTTGGGCTTTTTCATTCTCTCCCATTGTACACCTTGAATGCTGTCTCTAAAGTCTCCACTGGGGGTGTGAGGTGTCCCTTATCCAGTTTTTTAAGTGTAGCCTTAATATCTGAGGTACACTGGGAGAAAAATCAATCATTCATAATATTTTTATCTATATAAACTTATCTGCAATTGTTTCATTTCTTAGCATTTGGCCAAATAAATATTGAGCAAATTAAGGAATAATCTACTTTTTAATACCTTTGCCTGAGAAGGTGATAGTATTAGCAATGACTTAGAGAAAGCATACTCCCACTTTAGTGTACAAAAACAGAGGACACTGAATCCTTTCTCTAGGTAATCTGGGAAATTTGTACAGGTAAACATCTTCAGATTTATAGTGTTACAAACCTCTTGGTATAGGCCCTTGTCTTAATAGTGTCTGATTTAGACTGTTAATCCTTTTAGGGCAATGTGTTTTGTAATTTAACAACTGATTCTAGTGCTGGTGATGCTGAGAAGTATGCTGTTTGTTTGTTTTTGTTGTTTTGCCAGTACAGGGGCTTGAACTCAGAGGTTCATTCTCATTCTGCTTGCTTATTTGCTTGCGAAGCTGGATCCCTACCACTTCAGGCTTACATTTAGCCCAACTTCCTGTTGGTTAATTGGAGATGGAATCTTGAGAATTTTTATGCCCTGGCTCAATCCTCCAGATCTCAGTCTCGTGAGGATTAGAGCCACCATGAACCTATAATTCGAATACAGGTTTATTTTATTCTGAGCATCTCTATTCTAATAGTAGATGGGATGGGGTTTTCTGTCAGAGGAGATATTTAAGTAATCATGAAAGCAAGAGCAAGATAAAGGGAGAAAAGTGATTCTTGAAGATTAAGCAACCTGTCATTTTTTTTTTACAATAAAGACAATTAAATGCTACCCCAAGAAATTTCAATTGTTTCTAGTAGGGACCATTTCGCCTAAACAGAGAGGTTACATAATATAAAATAAAGTAGGTAGAGAGCAATTCATTGGGCAGAGAAATAGTAAAAAGGGTATTAAAATCTGTTTATAAAATGATAAGATAGAAATTTGAAGTATTAAAATGTTCATTAAGCAAAAACAAATACCCATATGTACATATTTGTTAAATTGATGTTTTGGTATCGAGAACACAACAGACATCAATTCAATAACATATTGTCCTGGCAGCATATAATGCAAAATATTTTCCAGATGTAAATGTGAAATACTGAGTCATGCTTATAGAAGCAAATGCTTATCTTAGAAAAAATATGAATTTATCTTTTAATGTATCAATACAACAAGAATAACATTTGTTTCTACAATAAGGTGTTGATTCTTTCAAGAATGATGGTGTCTACTCCAGTTATGTTACAGCCTATACAAGAAATGGTAGAGATAGCTCAAAAGTGTGGGCTCATGGAAGAATGCATTCTGTCAAGCAAAGCTTTTGGTATCCAGCAAATAGAGCTGCTGGGTAGTGAATGGTGATTCATAATATATAGAATCCAGTCATAGCTTGAATAGTATTTGCAATTTCATATAACAAAAGCTTCAAATACTTTACAATTCAAAAATATTGTAGCCAGGCATGGATGGCTCATGCCTAGCTATTCAGGACCTGGAGATATGAGGATCATGGTTCAAAGCCAGCCTGGGCAGGAAAGTCCATGAGACTCTTGTCTCCAATAAACCACTCAGAAAGCAGAAGTGGCACTGTGGCTCAGGTGGTAGAATGCTAGCCTTGAGCTGAAGAGCTGAGGGACTGTGCCCAGAGTTCAAGCCCCAGGACTAACGACAAAAAAAAAAAAGTATTGCCTTTTCTATTTTTACAGTGAAGTTTGCAGATCATTACCTTTAGGTTAATCTCAACTTTGGAAAACTACTTGGCATCTTGTAAGAATGCAAAACATGTCAGCTAGTATTAGTTAGTTTGGAACACCTTAACAATATTAGTGGTAATACGGCCAGTTTTGGGGCAGGACAAAAGAAGAAAATCCACTATGTTATGAGGTGAAGTACACAGTGGCAGGATTTACCATTCAGAATACATGGCTATAAGACTGAATATTTATGTAGAGGGTTTTTATTAACTCAAAACAAAAAAAAATGATGACAATAAACATTAAGGATGCAAATTTTGCTGCCTTTCACTTGGTTCTTTTCTCTTTTGACTTTCATTAGCAATTGGAAAATAATGAGAAGTATTCCAAAGGTGATCCCAGCTACTCAGGATGCTGAAATCTGAGGATATAGGTTCAAAGTCAGCCTTGGCAGAAGAGTCTGTAAAACGTTTTTTTCAACACCATTTGCAGGAGGGAACAAGCCTAGTCAAAGTGGTTGGAAGGGAATCTGCAATAAATTTCCCAAGTATAACCTTCTCTAAGAAACAATGTTAGAAGT